GGCAAGAGAGAAAACATTGAAATACAAAGATAAGGAGATTGTGGTCTTGAAATAAGTACCCAGAAGAGTGAGAGAGATGAGAAGATAATACTGATTTTTGACCAAATTGCTACTTAAAAAAGAGGTGAATTATAGATGGCTGATTCTAGAAGGTTTAATGTTCACATGGCAAGATCAGAGATATAGAATTGACTCAATTGAGAAAGCTGAATCATTTTACACAGAATTTTTCAGAGGGGAGGAAGAGGCAGAAAAAGAAATTTCACTAATTGAATTCCAAGAGGACTCCCAAACGACAACTGAAAAAGAAGAAGGTGCAGTAGGTGGAAAGGAGGAAGCCAAAGAACAACATGAACCAAGATCCACGAGAGCTGTCAAACCTAACTACAAAATATAACCATGGAAGAGAAAAAATTGATTACAATTAATATAAATGGACTTAACTCAGCCGTTAAAAGAAGGAAAGCCTTTCATAAATTAGAGAAATTAAAATTTGATATAATCTGCCTACAAAAAGTACATATTAAAAAACAATATGAACAATTGTTGATACAGCCAAAATTAGGGAAAATATTCACTTCCTTGACACAATGTAAGAAAAGAGGTGTGGTTTTATATATTAAAGAGACCATTCCAGCGAAGTTGATTTATACTGATGACGATGGAAGAATACTAATGGTGGAAATAATGGACAATAATACGAAAACACTCCTGATTGCAATTTATGCCCCGAATGACAATCAAGAAGAATTCTATAAAAAATTACACATGAAAATAATTGAACTGGACTATATTAATATAGTTATGATGGGAGATTTTAATGGGATTGTAGACAATAAACTGGACTATACAGCACAGAAAACAATAAAGCAAAACAGAAAGACTCTCCCTAAATCTTTTTTTTAAAATGGTAAATGAAATAAACTTAAAAGATACATGGAGAGAAAGAAATGCTAAAACTAAACAATACACCTTCTACTCAAATAGACACTTATCATTGTCCAGAATAGATATGATATGGATGTCAACAGAATTGTTAACTAATATTCAAGAAATAAATATTGAAACAAGTACTTGGGCAGATCACAATCCAATGACAATTAAATGGAAAGGACAAAGAAGATCTAGATGGACGTTAAATAACACTATTTTAAAGGAAAAAGACTTCACACAGTGGATGGAGAAAGAATTGCCTTTTTTCTTTAGAGAAAACAAAAAAGAAGATACATCAATCCAGAATGTATGGGATACAATGAAGGCATATGCCAGAGGCTTGATGATAGACTATACAAGGAAAAGAAATACCATGGAAAGCCTCTAAAACATTAGAAGATGAGTATAAAGGACTTGAAAAAGAGCTACAGAAAATGCCACAGAAAAAGGACATTAAGTTAAAAATGGATATAACCAAACATAAAATGGGTTTAATAGAAAAAGAAGAATTAGCACAAAAAATTAGAGGTGCTAAACAGAACTACTTTGAAGAGGCAAATAAATCAGGCATATAAATTGAGAAAGGAAAAAGAATCAAAGAAAATATTGCAATTAATAGATGACCAAGGCCAAAGTTTGCTATGGTAGTAAAGAGAAGAAGGAAATCATTTGATTATGGGAAACTATACACACAAGAGAATATTGATGAGGAAAGAGTTAAACAGTATTTACAGAATGCTAATTTACCCCAAATACCTAAAGAGACTGAAACAATGTTAGAAAGCAATATAAAGATGATGGAGTTAACTGAAGCACTTAAGAAGCAAAATAATGGAAAGGCACCAGGCCCAGATGGACTTCCGGCAGAATTTTACAAAACATTACAAGAATCATTGAACTTTCCATTGCTAGAAGTTATGAATGAAGTTATGTTAAAGAAGAGGATACCTAAATCATGGTCAGAAGCTTATATCACACTTATTCCAAAAGAAGAGACCGATCCATTACAAATCAAGAACTATAGACCTATTTCTCTATTAAACTCAGATTATAAAATCTTTGCTTCAATATTGGCAGAAAGACTTAAAAAATACTTAAATAATTTTATCCATCCTGATCAAAATGGATTTCTGCCAAAGAGACAAATTAAAGACAATATGAGAGTAATCTTGGACACTTTGGAATACTACAAGGCGCATCCTGAAAAACAAATGGCTCTGATATTTCTAGATGCACAGAAGGCATTTCACAATGTGAATTGGCGATTCATGTTGTTACTGCTGGAACAGATGGGCTTTGCTAGAAAATTTACTCAAGCAATAGAAGCTATATATCATAAACAGACGGCAAAAGTAATGATAGAGGGAGAACTGACAGATTCTATCGATATAAGAAAAGGAACAAGACAAGGGTGCCCACTATCACCTCTGTTGTTTGTGTTAACTTTGGAAGTGCTAAATAGAAATATTAGAGATGAAAAGAATATAAAAGGGATGAAAATTAAAAAGGAAGAATTTAAGTTGCAAGCATTTGCAGATGATCTGGTTTTTATCTTAGAAGACCCACTTGAAACAGCGTCAAAATTGATAGAAAAGATAGAGACATATGGAAAGGTGGCTGGTTTGAAAATAAATAAAGAGAAGACAAAGATCTTGACAAAGAATATGCTATCAAGACAAAAGGAAGAACTGGCAGACCTATTGAAAATTCAGGTCACGAATAAGATCAAGTATTTGGGGATATATTTGACAGCAAGATGCAGTACACTAAAAGAGAATAATTATATCAAACTTAAACAGCAGATAGCACTAGATTTAGTGAAATGGGAAAATTTACAACTGTCATTAATAGGGAGAATATCAACAATCAAGATGAATATATTACCCAGAATTTTATATTTGTTTCAAACAATTCCAATTAGGCTTGGGAAAGACTACTTTGAAGATTTAAATAAAATTGTGTTGAAATATATATGGCAAGGTAAGAAAGCGAGAATAAAGTTAAAACTTTTGCAAGATGCTAGAATAAGAGGAGGATTTGGTTTGCCTAATTGGGAGTTGTATTACCAAGCTACAAACTTGATGTGGGTTAAGGAATGGGTAACACTAAGAAATACTAGATTGTTGACATTAGAAGAACATGATTTGTTGTTGGGGTGGCATGCTTTTTTATGGTATAAAGGAACTAAAACACAGGGGTACTTTAGAAGACATTATATACGGGAGTCTCTGTGGTTAAACTGGGAGAAGATTAAAAGACAATGTTATTTGAAAATTCCAGTCTGGCTATCGACTATTGAAGCATTTTCTTATCCTATAATATACAAAAAGGAACAAACAGTTAGATATGGTGAAATATTGAATGAAAAGGGTGAACTTAAATCTATACAAAAACTAGAGGAACAAGGTATAAAGATGAATTGGTTTTCATATGCGCAAATACATTCAAGGTATGATAAAGATTCTAAAATGGAAGGTTTCTATGACAAACTGACTGACTTAGATAAGATTTTGACAGGTACTGATGAAAAAGTGATTAAAAAATTGTATGGATATTTATTAGAAATTAAACTAGAAGAAGAACAAGTTAAAGAAACAATGATTGCTTGGGGGAAGAATTTTGGATATGGGATTGATCTAGAGAAATGGCAAAAATTGTGGTCTCAAAATTATAAAATGACAATGTCAACAGCATATAAAGAAAATTTGTATCAGATGTTTTACAGGTGGCATTTCCCCCCCGGCAAGAATAGCAAGAATGTTCAAGAATAAATCCGAAAAATGTTGGAAATGTCATCAGACACCTGGCTCATATTACCATATTTATTTATTTATTTATTTATTTTATTTATTTATTTGATTTGCCAATTGTTTACAAGATAATAAGTATAAGTGTATACATAGTTGTGAATACATGAAATGGGTACATATAAGAAAAATAAAAGAAGAATAAGAGAAACAATAGGACAGGGACGGTAGGCACGTTGGTGCGCTTATGCACGCCCCCTATATGTGGTGGACGTGTGCGGATGCTAAAAAATACTGGACTAAAATCCACACGTAGTTGGAAAAAAATGACAAAAAAACATATAGATTTGAAACCAGAGATATTTTTATTGGGAATTTTACCTGAAATATATAGTAAAGACTTGAAATACCTGATTGTAAATGTATTAACAGCAGCTAGGATTGTATTTGCTAAAAACTGGAAAAATGAGAAAACACCATCACAGGAGGAAATCATTAAGAAAATATTGGAATGTGCTGAAATGAGTAGATTGACATTTGAAATTAGAGAACAAGATGATAAACAATTTTATAAAATTTGGGATCTATTCTATCAATGGTTGGACAATAGTAATGAAATAGGTAGACTTTTAGAAAATAATAAATATATAAAGATGTATTCTTTTCTTATTATATCTACAAAATGATTCTAGGATAGATCTGGGACGATAATATGAATTGACATAAAACAAATTAAGTAAAATATGATCATTTTGTAAAACATGAATGAATAAAAGTATAGTCAAATGATTGATTAATAATGATATTAATGTATTTAATATTTGATTGAAAATATGAGATTATATACAATGTAATTATAATTGAAGACTATGAAATGGAAGCACAAAACAATTTGTAAACCAACCAGCACAATGTATGTACATATATGGAAGATTACTTGATGTTTTTATGTTTTGTTTGTTTATGTTTATTTCAAAAACCAATAAAAACTTTTTTTAAAAAAAAGAAAGAAAGAAAAAAAGCACCTTTGGGGACAACCATGGCCTGGAGGACTGAGAATGTCCACAAACTCGGTTAGTGTGAGTTTGTGGTGGTGTTACTTTTGTGTAAAACCGTCCCACTTGATTAGCTGATGATTCAATAAACTGTGCAAACTCAAAACAAAGCATTCACTTGTCAGCTCTTGTCGAGTGGGACAAACCCACTTTAACCCTAACAGAGACTCTTCTGTCCGGGTCTGAGGGTTGCATGCGGGCACGGAAAGAGCCTGCACTCAGCCCATGCTCAGAGGCGCTTTGTGTCCAAGCAAGGAAGGCTCACCTCCAGGTAAAAGAGGTCCTGCGTGGTGATCTGAGAGTCCAGATACTCCTCGTAAGTGCTAAACTGGGTGACGATGTGATCCAAGACAGCGCCGGTATCGTCGCTCTCCGCGCCCGCCATCCCCAAGCTCGAGCGGAGCCGGCTGGCCGCGACCCTAGCAACCGCCCGCCGCGTCCCTAACAACCGCCCGCCGCTTTACCTGCTGTCATTCCCACCCCGTCAACACCGCCCCCTCCCTTGGCACAGCCAATCGCTCGGAAGCATCATGAACTGACCCCACCCACCATCAGCCCAGCTGGCCAATCGCACGGAGAACACTTGCGTTCCTAACTTTGAAACAAACAAACAAACACACACACACACACACACACACACACATCATCGAAACGCGAATCTCCGCAACCCGAAAAAATGGATCTGCGAAGAGGCAGTGACTCCCTTGCAGAGTCTCGTCGGAATCTGTAACAGCTCCTACCAAGAATTGGGTCTCTGCGCAGAATATTAGATTAGATTACAGATTAACAGAGTTGGAAAGGACCTTATAGGTCATCTAGTCCAACTCCTCGCCCAAGCAGGAGACCCTACACCATTTCTGACAAATGGCAGTCCAATCTCTTCTTGAAAGTCTCAACTGATGGCGCTCCCACAACTTCCGAGGGCAACTTCTGTTCCATGGGTTTGATTGTTCTCACTGTCAGAAAGTTTCTTCTTATTTCAAGGTTGAATCTGGGCGGGGGGAGTTGGACTAGATGACCTATAAGGTCCCTTCCAACTCTGATTATCTGTTATCATCCAAGTCCTTGCTCGCCGAGGCCCTGCTGCTGGCGAACCACAACAACACCAATTCAAAGTTGGAAAAGCACACCCCACCCCCACCCAAAAAAAAGAGTTATGACGCAGCATCCCCATGGTCAAAATTCAGATGCTTGGCACCTGCCTCATATTTATGACAGTCACAGTATTTGGGGTTATGTGATCACCTTTTGCAACCTCCTGACAAGCAAAGGCAACAGGGGAAGCGAGATTCACCTTCACAACCATGTTACTAACTTAATAACTCCTAGTAGTTTTTTTTTTTTAATTTGTCAATTGCTTACAAGATAATAGGTATAAGTAAAAACATAGTTATGAATACACGGATACATATAAGAAAAATAAAAATATATAAAAGAAACAATAGGACAGGGACGGTAGGCACGTTGGTGCGCTTATGCACGCCCCTTACAGGCCTTTTAGGAAAGGGGTGAGGTCAATAGTAGACAGTCTAAGGTTAAAGTTTTTGGGGTTTGGGGAAGAAACCACAGAATCAGGTGGAGTATTCCAGACATTGACCACTCTGTTGCTGAAGTCGTATTTCCTGCAATCAAGTTTGGTGCAGTTTACCTTGAGTTTGTATCTATTGTTTGCTCTTGTATTGTTATGGTTGAAGCTGAAGTATTCATTGACAGGTAGGACATTGCAGTGTATGATTTTATATACTAAGATCGGACCGAAGGCGGCGTAGTTCTAGGTTTTCTAGGTCTAGAATTTCGAGTCTGGTGGCATAAGGTATTCTGCAATGAGTAGAGGAGTGGAGAACTCTTCTTATGAAATATTTCTGGACTTTCTCAACTGTGTTAATGTGGGTTCCAGACTGATGAGCTGTATTCGAGTATTGGTCTAGCAAATGTTTTGTATGCTCTAGTTAGTAGTGTGATATTACCAGAGAAAAAGCTACGTAGGATTAGGTTAACAACTCTTAATGCCTTTTTGGCTATGTAGTTGCAGTGGGCTCTAGCACTTAGGTCATTCGAGATGAGTATTCCCAGGTCCTTTACAGAGATTGGATCATCAACAAGATCTTGACTATTCAGCTTGTATTTTATTTTCTGATTTTTTTTGCCAATATGTAAGACAGAGCATTTATTTATTGAGATTTGAAGTTGCCATTTGTTTGACCATTCTGATACATAGTCGAGGTCTTTTTGAAGGGTAGCAGTATTGTCTGTGGTGTTGAATAGCTTTACATCATCAGCGAAGAGAACGCAGTTGCTCTTGATATGATCACAGAGGTCATTTATGTAGAGTATAAAAACAGTTGGTCTTAGAACACTGCCTTGGGAGACACCACTGTTGACAGGTACAGAATTTGATAGGACGCTCCCAATTTTGACCATTTGTTGTCTGTTTGCCAGGAATGCTTCTATCCAGTTATGCAGGTGTCCAGAGATACCGTAAGATTTTAGTTTTAGGAGTAGTTTGTCGTGTACCACTGAATCAAAGGCTTTACAGAAGTCTATGTAGATTGCGTCTATTGCTTTGCCCTGATTGAGTTGTGTAGTCCATATGTTTTTGCAGTGTAAGAGTTGCAGATTACAGGATAGTTTTTTCCTAAAACCAAATTGTTTATTAGAGAGTAGGTTGTTTGTTTCTAAATGGAGGATGATGGATTGGTTAATAATTGATTCCATGACTTTACAGGTGACGCAGCATAAGGAGATTGGTCTGTAATTTTCAACTAGGCTTGGGTCTCCCTTTTTGAAGATGGGGATGACTGTGGCTTGTGACCATAGGTTAGGCAAGGAGCTGGTCCTGAAAGATTTTTCAAAGATTATGCTTAGAGGTTCGGTTATAGCAGTGGGTAGCTTTTTAAAGAAGTAGGCACATATTCTGTCTGGTCCAATAGATAGAGATGGTTTTAGATTGCGCAGTGCTTTTTAAACATTGTCTTCTGTAAAATCGATATTTATTAGATCATTGTAGTTGTCTGTGGTTCGACGAGGAAATACTGGGCATGATCCATTGCTGTTTACAAATACTGAGCCGAAGAATGTGTTAAAGAGGTTGGCTTTAATGGTGTCATCGTTGCAGTCTTTACCATCAGGTCCTATCAAGGGTGGGATAGACCTTGAGTCTTTTAGTTTGTTGTTTACAAAATTGTAGAAAGTGCGTAGGTTTTCTTCTTGTTTAATGTGATAATTGGTGCATTCAGTTTTTATCTGGTGGCATATATTTTTGTATTGGCTTTTGAAGTTGGCAACGTGACCAGATTTGTTTTTCCGCAATAACTGCAGTGACTCAGTCAACAACGGTGGCAAGAAAGGTCATAAAATGGGGCAAAACTCACTTAACAGTCTTGCTTAACGATGTAAATTTTGGCTTCGATTGTGATCATAAGTCATATACAATACCTGTATTGCATATGAGATTATTAGTGTTACATTATTCTCTTGCCAGTGGTGGGATTCAAATTTTTTTACTATCGGTTCTCTGGGTGTGGCTTGGTGGGCTTGGCTTGGCTTGGTGGGCATGGCTTGGTGGGCATGACAGGGGAAGGATACTTCAAAATCCCCATTCCCTGTGATGACCCAGAGTGTAACACAAACTTAACAAAATCTAAACAAACTACAATGATGAAATTTCGACAACGGACCAGGATAAGTAATTACCAACTTCAAGGAGATAACAAGGCACAGTCTGTTGGAAGGACGCCAACCAAGATAACTTCAGCCCAAAATAAAACACGCTTTGCTTCTGGCAACACTGTGTTTTAACCGTCTCTCTTATATACTATTCTCCCCAGTTGCAACCAATGAGGAGGATCATGGCCGCCTCCTCTCTCGCAAGCCAAGTTGTTGCCTCCTCCGTTCCTCCCTGCATGTCCTAGGATGCAGAGGGGATGGGCTTGGTTCTTCCTCTGACTGCCCAGCCGGCCTCTGCCCTTCCCCAGCCTCCTCCACAACCTCTGGAGCCACACCTCCACTCCCTGTCAGCTGTTCCTCCTCTCCCTCAGAGTCCGATTCTACCAAGGGTATGACATTCCCTCCCTACCCCACTAAGCTGATTTCCAGCTCCATTCTCCTATACAGGGCAACCAAAGAAGACCCAGCCAATCAGCTAGGACTCAGGAAGCAGAGAATAGATGGGGGCGCGGCCAGTCAAAGGTGGTATTTGCTGGTTCTCTTCAACTACTCAAAATTTCCACTGCCGGTTCTCCAGAACTGGTCAGAACCTGCTGAATACCACCTCCCGGTGCCAACTCAAGAAGGCGAGCACCTAATTTCCTAACAACATCCCTCTGAGGTAGGTTAGATTGAAAAAGAGTGACTGGTCCAAATCTCCCCCTTCCCCCACCCCATGGCTTTGTTTATATTTAATTGTATTTCTTGGCAACTGGCATATACATACAATGACTACAATATCCCAGATTGTTTGCAACAAGCAAAGTCAAGTGGGGAGGAATCAGATTTGCTTAATGACCATGTGGTTCAGTTAACAACTGCAGGGATTTGCTTAGAACTGTGACAAAAAAAAGCTTATAAAATTGATTGAGACTTACTTAGCAACTGCTTCATTTAGTAGCATAAATTCTGGTCGGGTGTAAGTTGAGAACTAACTGTATGAACTGAATCTGCCACGGTAGAAACCTATATTTGCTGAAACCGCACTGAGACTTTTGGCTGTTTATTTACCAAAGTTATTTTTAACTCTCATCTCAAATCATAATGATTCCTAACGCAGGGCACAATTAAAATTGATTGTTGATTACTTGCAGTCAAGTGTAATTGAACCTTCTTGTAATTTTCCACTAAGCAATTTCAATCCGGTTCATCTGTTTGATAGCTGTTGTGTTACAGCATTTATTGAAGTACGTAATGTTAATTTATCAAGAGAAAATGCACTCGCCATAAAAAATCATAATACCATTTTCTGAGGTAGAAAATGTAAGCAGTAATCAGACAGACACGTCGAGGTGAGTGTTGCTGGGATTCATTAAATATTATATATTTGCAGTGTAGAAAGTCAGCACTAACCCCCCCCCCCCCCCGAAGAATGAAATATTTGGGGACATATTAAAAAGGCAGAATATTATATTTCCCTAAATGAGAAATGGAGAAACATGTTTTTAGAGGCAGGAAGCAGCTCCAGTCTCCCTGCCCGCAAGCAGAAACTGAGGAGGCAGCTGTTAGAAATGCAGCTTTAGTAATCCATTCAAGATAGAATGTTTGAAAACTCCCTGCAGCAAAGTCTGAACGAAGGCAGAATGGTAGGATTAGCCCCTCACCCAAGATCCAATACAGGAAGAAGCCATTAAGCCACAATAGAAACTGCCCAACATCCTTTCAGAACACAAGCCCCTT